ATTAATGAAGCCCCATCTGCATCTCAGGCATTACTGATATATATATGTTTTATTTTAGTATCAATGAGATAGTATTATTATTTCTGAATTAGATTTTATTTGTATATTTTGTTTTTAAAAAATGTTAATATGTCTATAGTTTAGAGTTTATACAGTTGTAGTTATTTTAGAATTTAAGATTGAATTTTCATATATCTTTGTACAACTATTTCATATAACTTCAATTTAAGCTTTTTCATTTAGATTTTTATTTCAATTCATATTTATTTCAAGTAATGAAACAGTTTTTTATTTTATTAAATTTTTTAGCTAATGATGTGTGAGTGCGTGTGTGTGTGCATATGAATTACTTGTATATTAATTATTTTAGAATAATTAATAATAAACTTCCATATTCAGATAGCTCACACATTGAAAAAAATATATATGCAGACTATATTTTAAATGTAACAAATTATGCTCATGTGGATATGAATTCAATCTTGGTATTGCCCAATGTTATCTCATTTGACTAAAAATAACTATAACAGAAATAATGAAAATAGACACATTGTAGAATTTATATTTTATTTTTTGTGTTATGTACATATATATATGAATGTGCAGTTTGTATGGAACAGTTGGATCAGTAACAATTCTATGTACAGATGCTCCCAGCAATTCAGTCTATAAGTCAAGTATACTTAAATGTCATTTTAAGTATATTTCTGAGAAGTACATCAAGCCCATTTCCGAGAAGTACAGAAAAAGTATACTTTCCTATTTTTAGTTTAAAAGAAGTATACTAATAGCACACTTGAATAAACTTCTTTTTCGTAATGGAAATAATGGCAAGTTTTATGTTTTGTTGAACTATCGCCCATGCTTGAGAAACATATGTCTTTTGCGAGCGACTAATTAGCGCCAAGCTCTAACTTCAGCGGTAAAAACGTTCATCCCTGTTTCCACAAAAGCTTGTAGTTAAAAAGAAAATTGACTTTTTAAGACCTTCGAAATATGTTTCCTTCATTACGCAAACAACCCCCATAATTTAGCCCATCTCTCTCACTTCACATCCGTCTTTAAAATCTATAAAAATGACTTAAAATACATCTACAACACAGAAAGCGCTGCTCACAGAGCAGCCCGTTATAATGCAAATGATCCCGCTCAGGTAAGCGCACCTTGAGGTGATTGTTAACGTGAATGAGGATACGTTGATAACCATAAATCAAAGGACATTGCATCTTCATTTAAAGTCTGACAGAACTGGATGTTACTTAATAGACATTTAGAAATTCCTACCCAACGACAATGCCGCATTGCAACTCACCTGTGGACGCAACGAGAGCCGCCAAACAACACGGAAAAATATGTGTCCTGAAAATAAGATGATCCTCTCGGCGCTCATCTTTTAAAGGATCGCACTTGCTAATAACAGCTTTGGTTTGCATTGATTGGTATTCCCAAAGAAAGGTGTCAACCACTCATGACCAGACAAGCCCTTCAATATTGTGAAACAGGTGTGGATGTGGGTCGGACTCTCATTCCGCCACTGACTCTTCTTTTTACTTTCGCTGCCATCCGATCTATTCGCGGACAGGTGAGGAGTGCTGTTCTGTAGACAGGCGTGACTGTATTTTCATTTTAATTGCCTTAATGTTTGCTCTAAATTTCCCGATTGGTCAGTGTTAAAGGCAAGACAGGTGTGAGTACACCCTTTAGGAGAGTTGTGTCTGCTTGTACACCGCAGTTTTCTCTAGTCTGAAGTGAAGTGCTCTCGTGTGAAGAGCTGTTTCACTGGTTTGGAAGAATGGGTTTATGTGAGGTAATCTGGAGGACTTTAACTGCACTGGCTGTTCTTTGTCCAGCTATTGGTGAGTAGAAGTCTATCTATATCTACACTGGAAAAATTGGTGTAGAAACCATTTTTCACTCAAAAATGGCTAGTAAATTAACAAATAATTACAAAGAAATTGCAATTTACGTTGAGTTTAGTGAAATTTTTATGTAAAAATACTAAAATAGTACATTTCTTGTGGAACTTACTCTAATAATCTTTGTTTTATTTACAACTTTGAAAAATATTTTTTACAGTCTATCTATCTATCTATCTATCTATCTATCTATCTATCTATCTATCTATCTATCTATCTATCTATCTATCTGTTGCATTTTGAAATGATAAAAACTACTATAATTTGTATTATTTTTCAGTTTAACAGTCCTCTCAATTTTTTAATGCAGTTTTAATCAGAAAAAATGACAGTATTTTCTATATGGTCTCAGATTTTTGAACCTCACTTTGTGCATATATGAAAAAACATGAATTTCCAGCTTTTTGTATACCTAATATGAGTTATTGTTATTCATGAAAGTTACTGTGAAGTATTTCAATAAACTGTACTTCAATCAAGGTTATTCAAAAATATTTTCCTCTATTTTGCAATAAAAAAGTATTGTAGCAAAAAGTCTCATTGTCACAAAATAGCTTTTTTTCCTTTAATCTTGAATATTTGTTTATTTATTTTACACCATAACTATTCTTGTATTTAATTTTTTGAGGGATGTTTTATGATGTAAATTAGATTTTGAATTCTAGAACTTTATTTTAAGAACAGCTTGAATGTGCATGGAATAAATTAATAGGTCATTAACTAACATTATATGATGATTCACATTTATTATAGTGTTGCAAAACTTTGATCTTGAACCAAACAGGTGCCAATTCTGCCATTGCTTGGGAAGTTCAAAGGTATGATGGGTGGTACAATAATTTGGCAGACCACAATCGAGGGGCTACAGGTGACTGAATTCATACTTCTTTTAGGCTTTTTACAAAAAAAAAAAAAAAGGAAACATCAGTATGTTCTCCCCACAGGTGCAGCACTGGTCCGTCTCTTTCCGGCGCAGTACACGGATGGTGTTTATCTGCCCCAACAGGAACCGCACCTGCCCAACCCCCGCCAGATAAGCAACATAGCCATGAGTGGCCAATCTGGACTCTTGTCCTACAGGAACAGAAGCGTTCTCTCTGTAGCCTTCGGTGAGTGACGCTTTCATTTAAACATGGCGCAACCTGTTGATTGAAGAGCCAGCCCTTTAATAACCTTTAATTTACCTTAAAGGGATAGCTCATCCAATTAAAATAAAAATTGTACTATTTATTCACCCTCATGCTGTTCCAGTCCTTTCTTGCATGGTACAAAAACGAAGAAATTGCTAGTAACTCTTTTCCATGCAATTGCAATGCATAGGGACTGGACATTCAAGCTTCAAAACAGATGCAAAAGCACTATAAAATTACTCTTTCACTGTATCTATACTGAATCTTATGGATTCAGTCAGACTGTTATAAATCCACCCTGGTTCTCCTAAGTGTATTTATTGGAGTCGTGATGTCCAGTTTACAAGGAATCATTCATCCTTTTAGATTAGATTAGATTAGATAAACCTTTATTCGTCCCACAATGGGGACGTTTCCATGTTACAGCAGCGAAGAAAAAGTGCAAATAAGCAAAGACTAAAAAAAGGAATCATTCGTCCTTTTGAGTCAGATATTTCAGTTAAATGTTATGAAAATAATTCATTCACAAAATGGACTGAATCAGTCAATTGGAATAGTCTATCTATCTATCTATCTATCTATCTATCTATCTATCTATCTATCTATCTATCTATCTGTTGCATTTTGAAATGATAAAAACTACTATAATTTGTATTATTTTTCAGTTTAACAGTCCTCTCAATTTTTTAATGCAGTTTTAATCAGAAAAAATGACAGTATTTTCTATATGGTCTCAGATTTTTGAACCTCACTTTGTGCATATATGAAAAAACATGAATTTCCAGCTTTTTGTATACCTAATATGAGTTATTGTTATTCATGAAAGTTACTGTGAAGTATTTCAATAAACTGTACTTCAATCAAGGTTATTCAAAAATATTTTCCTCTATTTTGCAATAAAAAAGTATTGTAACAAAAAGTCTCATTGTCACAAAATAGCTTTTTTTCCTTTAATCTTGAATATTTGTTTATTTATTTTACACCATAACTATTCTTGTATTTAATTCTTTGAGGGATGTTTTATGATGTAAATTAGATTTTGAATTCTAGAACTTTATTTTAAGAACAGCTTGAATGTGCATGGAATAAATTAATAGGTCATTAACTAACATTATATGATGATTCACATTTATTATAGTGTTGCAAAACTTTGATCTTGAACCAAACAGGTGCCAATTCTGCCATTGCTTGGGAAGTTCAAAGGTATGATGGGTGGTACAATAATTTGGCAGACCACAATCGAGGGGCTACAGGTGACTGAATTCATACTTCTTTTAGGCTTTTTACAAAAAAAAAAAAAAAGGAAACATCAGTATGTTCTCCCCACAGGTGCAGCACTGGTCCGTCTCTTTCCGGCGCAGTACACGGATGGTGTTTATCTGCCCCAACAGGAACCGCACCTGCCCAACCCCCGCCAGATAAGCAACATAGCCATGAGTGGCCAATCTGGACTCTTGTCCTACAGGAACAGAAGCGTTCTCTCTGTAGCCTTCGGTGAGTGACGCTTTCATTTAAACATGGCGCAACCTGTTGATTGAAGAGCCAGCCCTTTAATAACCTTTAATTTACCTTAAAGGGATAGCTCATCCAATTAAAATAAAAATTGTACTATTTATTCACCCTCATGCTGTTCCAGTCCTTTCTTGCATGGTACAAAAACGAAGAAATTGCTAGTAACTCTTTTCCATGCAATTGCAATGCATAGGGACTGGACATTCAAGCTTCAAAACAGATGCAAAAGCACTATAAAATTACTCTTTCACTGTATCTATACTGAATCTTATGGATTCAGTCAGACTGTTATAAATCCACCCTGGTTCTCCTAAGTGTATTTATTGGAGTCGTGATGTCCAGTTTACAAGGAATCATTCATCCTTTTAGATTAGATTAGATTAGATAAACCTTTATTCGTCCCACAATGGGGACGTTTCCATGTTACAGCAGCGAAGAAAAAGTGCAAATAAGCAAAGACTAAAAAAAGGAATCATTCGTCCTTTTGAGTCAGATATTTCAGTTAAATGTTATGAAAATAATTCATTCACAAAATGGACTGAATCAGTCAATTGGAATAGCACATATTTTTGAATATGATTGAGAAAATAGTTAGATTCAAGTGTTTACTTTATTTCCTTTTGATTAGATTATTTCAGGTTTACGCCACCTCTTTCAATCTAATTGAAATGTCATTTGGCTCAAGCTCAACTGGATCGATTGAGCAGTTTCATTGTCAAGTCTTTTCAGTCTGACTGAGCTATCAGTCCATCAATAAACAGATTATTTGGCTGCTAGTGATTTTATTATTTAAAATGAACTCTTTATATATATATATATATATATAATGGTTTGAGATAAAGGAGTAACATTTATTATACAAGTTTTGGTAACATGCATAAAAATAGTATTAATAAATGGTATTAATATCCTGATATTTCATATCTACAGGCCGAACAGAATATTCCACTTTACAGTTATTTAATATAAAGTTACTAGTCTATTATTGTGGTATATTGAACAAAAACGTGGGCGATTGTGGGCAGACTTGAGCAGACTTTATGCCACAAGACAAAAGATTGGCTACACGAGACTAACCTGTGGTCTGTTCAAATCTCTCTCATGGTTTGTGTAAAATGCAGTTGGCTTTGCCGATCGACGTCATTACAGGGTAACTGATGCCACTTATGTCATTTCTGCTGAGGGCAGTACTGTTCACAGTGGTTAGTGAAAAATATGAGCTAATAATGGAATATATATTATGAGCTGAATCACACAGCACCGTCTTTCTGCAGGTTATCAAAAATACGTTGATCCAGGGATCTCTGCTGAGTTTGAAGCTGCTGCTGTGAGGTTTGGACTGACTCTTGCTCCACCTGGTGTATATAAAAGGTACATTTCTCAAATCACTTTTGTAAAACTGATCAGTTGAAAGCCATTTTAAAATTTGTAAATTGAATTTATTTTCATCATTGCAAAGCACTGTTGACAGTGTATTAACTGTTTTCTATTTGAATATATTTTAAAATGTAATTTATTCCTGTGATCAAAGCTGTATTTTCAGCATCATTACTCCAGTCTTCAGTGTCACATGATCCTTCAGAAATCATTCTGATAATACTGATTGGACATTAAATGTTTTAATGCAATTTGATTGCCGAATAAGTAATTTCTTTAAATAAATTAATCAATATTTATACAATAATTAAATAAACTGATCCCACACTTTCAAATGGTAGTGTATGTATAAAATCCTCATTTGTGTCTAAAATTGTGCTGAAATGTGATTTTGGGGATTCAGAAACAGGACGTGTCACTACAACAGTGCTGTGAACAATTCTCCTGGCCTGCGTTTATGCAACACCTTCTGGAACCGAAATGTGAGTCATGATAAACGGGGTTTTGTTTAGATTATGCAACCATACTATTAAAATGTTAAACATGGAGGCTTTACTAAAATTTTGACTGATTTTGTCCTAAAGAATTTCTTTATTTTATATATATATATATATATATATATATATATATATATATATATATAAATGAATTTTTGTTTAGAAATTACTGTTTTGAAATTAATTTTATACAATTATAATATGAAATAAAAAAAATTCCATTGCTATATCATCAAGTTATATATGTTTTAGAATCCAAACCTGCAGTCCAGTCAGGATGTAGATGAGCTAATAATGGGCATGGCGTCTCAGATCGCTGAGCGAGAGGACAACATCATTGTGGAGGATTTGAGAGGTTGGTTTTTTCAAATAATTGAATGGCATCAAGAAGATCTGCTGGTTAACACATCTTCTCTGTTCCTTTTCTCCATTAGACTACATGTACGGCCCCTTGCGGTTCTCGCGCTCTGATGCAGTGGCTTTGACCATCCAGAGGGGGCGTGATTTTGGGCTGCCCAGTTATAACCAGATCAGAGAGAGCCTCAACATGCGGCCGGTCAACAGCTGGGACGAGATCAACCCTAAACTCAATAACACACAGGTGCTGCTACAGCCATCAGCAAGAGTCTCTCAATAACAAATAACGCTTCTGTTGAATCGCGATCTCGATTCCATTTCGATTTATCGTGCAGCCCTACCCAGAATGCCCATCACCCAACCACCACAATGCAAATATCTGTTTCTTTGAATCTCTTTTTACTGATTTTCAGTTGTTAAGGGAGCTCGCAGAGCTATATGAGAATGATACCTCCAGACTAGATCTATTTGTGGGCGGCCTGCTAGAATCACAGGAAGGACCAGGTCCAGTGTTTTCCAGCATCATCCTGGACCAGTTTGAACGGATAAGAAACGCTGACCGCTTCTGGTTTGAGAACAAACAAAATGGGTGGGACATTTTCCTTTGATGATTACTTAAAAAAACAGCCATATCAATTTGGTCAGATAAGCACACTAAACACTGCAAGATATTCTTCATCTCAGGTTGTTCACTGAGGAGGAGATCCAAGCCATACGTAACACCACATTTCATGATGTCCTTCTGGACGTCACCAGTGCAGAGGAGGGCGACATTCAAAGAAATGTATTCTTCTGGGTGAACGGTAATAAGCAACCCAAATGCATTAACAACATACTCAACAAAAAATCATATTACAAAGCTGTGATGTATTTATTTTGCACTTTTTGTGCAGGTGATCCCTGCCCCCAGCCTCAGCCAATCACATCCTCCGATCTTCACCCCTGCAAAAAGGTCTCCTCTATGAGTTACTTTGACAACAGCAGCAAGGCTGGTTTTGGCGCAACGGTGGTGGTGCTCTTCCTGTTTCCTGTTGGTCAGTGTCATTCATCAGTTTGTGTGCGTGTGTGTGTGTGTGTGTGTGTGTGTGTGTGTGTGTGTGCTATAATTCAATTATAATTAAATTGCAATTTCATGTATTTATAGACCACTGCATTTGATCTGGAATTATAAAAGTTTGTTTGTTTGCTTATTGCATTAATTATTAAACCACAAAAGAAAAATGTGAAACACAAGTAATAGTATTTTATATAATAATAATTATATATTTTATTAAAATAATAATAATAATATGATCTTTTATTAAAAACATATTGGAATGGATTTGTGTGTGCGTGTGTGTGTGTGTGTGTGTGTGTGTGTGTGTGTGTGTGTGTGTGTGCTATAATTCAATTATAATTAAATTGCAATTTCATGTATTTATAGACCACTGCATTTGATCTGGAATTATAAAAGTTTGTTTGTTTGCTTATTGCATTAATTATTAAACCACAAAAGAAAAATGTGAAACACAAGTAATAGTATTTTATATAATAATAATTATATATTTTATTAAAATAATAATAATAATATGATCTTTTATTAAAAACATATTGGAATGGAACTTTGTGTGAATTGCATTATAAAATAATTAAATTATTTTATTATTAATTAAACATTTTTTTGATTATTATTATAATAGTATTATTTATTAGATTATAGTATTCAAATAGTATTATTTATTAGAATTTTAAATAACAGTATTTTATATATAGTATTTTATATAAATACTAGTATTTTTTATAACAATAATTATATATTTTCATGTTTTGTTTAAAAAAGATTGGAATGTAATTCTTGTTTTAAAGTAAAAATACATAACAACATTATTTATTTATTTATTTTTATCTAGCTTAAACTGTGTATTTTCCATTTAAAATAATTAAAATGTTAAATAATAGTATTATTTATTGGATAATATAATTAAAAATAGTATTCTTTATTAGAATTTTAAATGATAGTATTTTATATATAATATTTTATATAAATAATTATGTATTTTCATATTTTGTTTAAGAAAGATTGGAATGTTATTCTTGTTTTAAAGTCAAAAATATATAACAACACTATTTATTTATTTATTAAGCTAGCTTAAACTTTGTGTAAATTTCCGTTAAAAATAATTAAAATAAATGTTATTTTAAATAATATTATTTTACATATAGCATTTAATATAAATAAAAAAAATGTATAAAATAATAATTATTATGTACAGTATTTTCATTATTTTTAATGTTTTGTTTTAAAAATATTGAAATGTTGATCTCTCAACAGCAAGCTACATCGTAGCTTGTGTAGTTGCTCATGTCCGGACAGCCAGATACAAACGATTCCAAAAGAAGCTCAGAGGTTCCACCACAGACAAGAAACCTGCACATGAAACTATTGGTCAGTAATATCACATGCAGTGTCACATTGGGCTGAAATGCCAGGGAATCCTCTTCAAATCGCATTTCTGGAAATTCGTTTCAGTCTGACCACTCAGATCGGATTTAGCATAGCTTTTTCACATTCTCTTGCCACGTAAAACATAAACATGTCAGACATTTTTGTAGAAAACATAATGAATGTCTTTGCAGAAAAAAGCTTGTGTTGTTGCGAACTGTAAGTCAAGTGGGAAAAGACAATAGACTGCCAGTATACCGGTATACGCACCTCTTTGAGTGTTGAAGCCAGCGGAGAAGGCATCACGGAATAAAGTTGCACATTCCAACTTCCTGCATTTCTGCCGCTACCTCATAATTCAGCGCGACGGCAAAATGTCGTCATGTCATAAGACAGCATCTGTATTACAAACTGTATTGCTGTTATTGTTGTTTTTAGCATAGGCATAACAACGCAATGGCATTGCCATAGAAAACAAGGCACATTCCGTAAAATGAAAGAGTGTTTATGGACACACAAATTGGATATGAACAGTTGCAATACACTGTCACTGATTCAAATCAGATTCCATCTGGCTATGCACAAAATCGGATTTGGACTGACAGTCTGAACGAGGCTTATTACTGTGCTACAAATTTACATTGTTAGAATGTCACAATTTTAATACAATTTCTCAGCATTTCAGTGTTAGAATGATACAGGTTTACAATATTACAATGCTACTAAGCTACTTTGTTACATTTTTAGGCTGTTACACTTTTACAATTTTACAATGTCACAATGCTACAAAGTGTCGTTGTTAGGATATTACAGTTTTACATTTTTACAGTGTTACGATGTTACACAATGTTGCATTTTTATGATGTTACAATGCTTACCTTGTTACATTGTTGTTACATGATATAACCGTTTTTCAATTTAATAGCTTTATGATGTTACAACATTACAGTATTAGAATGTTACAATGCTACAAAATCGCCTTGCTATGTTGTTAGGATGTTACAATTTTATAATATTGCAGCATTACAGTGTTACAAAGTAACCTTGTGTCGTTAGAATGCTACAGTTTTACAGTGTTATGGTGTTACTGTGTTGTGTTGGTAAGAGTGTTACAATGTTCGCTGTAAATCCAGGTACTCCCGAGGAGAAGTCCAAGCTTCTGTTTTCAATGCATGACATTAAAGAAGATGGCTTCTTGTCCAAGGAAGAGTTCACTTCCTTACTCAGGTCGGTTCTGATGTTTGTTTGTTTTTGAGCCTTGTAGAGAACAAAAGTGTTTTGTGCAAACATTTCTTGAAAATAACCTGAAATTAGAGATTCAGATTACACTTTTACACTTCAATAAATCCTCTGAAGGATTTCTTCTTTCTTCTAGCCAGTTTTTGCTCTTGTCTTGTGCAGGTCTTTCATTGATATCTCTGGAAGTGCTTTATCTAAGAGTCAGGCTGAGGATGGTATAGCAGCTATGCTTCAGGCAGCAGGTCTTGACAACAAAGATTCCTTCTCCTGGGAGGACTTTCACTTTCTGCTGCGAGACCATTCAGCTCAGCTCAATATTAAAGGTTAAAGATATATTTTTCTTCATGGTCTAATCCCCCAGGTCATTATATTTCTCAGTTCACCCAACACAGAGGCATTTTACTTTGAAACTGTTGTTCGTGTATTCCCAGGCATGGAAGTACTTGGTAAGAAAAAACTATCCAGACAACAGCAAGTATCTTTCATTAAGAAAAATAGGTAAAGAAAAAGTATATAACATGAAACTCATTCTAAATGAGTCCACAGTAATACAGCTAAAGTTTTAATTTCCTTTGTAGTTCTTCAGCCGTGGAAGAGCTTACTCACAGGCCTGATGGCGAGCAAGACCAGGAACTTCGTCAAAGACAGATCAAGAAGTGAGACGTTAATGTATAATATCTCTGCTGTGGTTATCTAAAAGCATGTGTAGCATTATGTAATGTGTCCTGACATGTGTATGGTCATTAGGAGCTCAGCTAGGGGTTAGATTTAAGTCTTTGTGAAACCCGTCATTTATTGGCTATTGAGAAATGTGGCAATCAGTATTTGTGGGAAGTGATGCCAGCATTCTATGATGTAATATTGGTCACGTTTCGTTTTGAACATCATAATCTTGAGTTGAATGTGACTAAATTAAACAGGCTAATGCAGTAGCAGAAATAACTCGATTTTTACATATTATGAAGACAATGTGAGTGGAGATGACCTGTACAATAGTCACCACAATGAAGTTGTAGGCATTTGGGAGGATGTTACTATGCAATTGCAGACAGTTAACTAACTAAATAGGCAGACAGACTAATACCTAACTAGACCAGGGGTGTCCAATCCTCCTCCTGGAGGGCCTCTGTCCTGCAAAGTTCAGCTCCAACCCCAATTAATATCACTTGAACCAGCTAATCAAGGTCTTACTAGGTATACTTGAAACTTCCAGTCAAGTTAGAGCTAAACTGTTAGAGCTAGGACTGAGTTTGGATATCCCTGAACTAGTCAGACAAGAATACAGATAGTTAACTATACATACAAATGGACAGACAGATAAATAGTTTGTTAGTAATCTGTCTGTCTGTATAATTAGTTTTCTCTCTGGCTGTCTTTCTGTCTGGTTAGTTATCTGTCTGGCTGTATTTTTTCTGTCTAGTTATTTAGTTATCCACCTGTCCGTCTCTCTAATTAGTTATCTGTCTGGCTGACTTTCTGCTTAGTTTGTTTATTATTCACCTGTCTGTATTTCTATCTAGTTTGTAAGTTATCCATCTGTCGGTCTATCTCATTAGTTATGTCTCTGGTTGTCTTTCTGTCTGGTTATTTATCCGTTTGTCTGGCTGTTTTTCTATCTAGTTATTTAGTCATCCACCTGTCGGTTTTTTGTATTAGTTATCTAACTGGCTGTCTTTCTGTCTAATTATTTATTTGTCCAGATGTCTGTCTGTCTAAATAGTTAGTTGTTTATCGGTTTGTCTTTCTATCTATTTAGTTATCCACCGTTTTTTATAATAAGTTACGTATCTGCCTGTTTATTAGTTATTTATCCAGCTCTTTTTTTGGTCTAATTAGTTAATTGTTCACCTGTCTGTCGATTAGTTAGTTATGTATTGACTAGTTTTCTACCTGACTGTCTTTCTGTCTATTTATTTCTCAAACTTGGGTTAACTCTCTGGCTGTTTCTCTGTATAGTTAGTAAATTGTCCACCTGTCTGTCCAATTAGTTAGTTATAAGACAGCTATATGGCTGTCTCTCTATCTTGTTAGTTATCTTACCTGTCTATCTAATTAGTTATAATGACTGTGAGGGAGATAACTGAATAGACATACATAAAAACAGGTGGATAACTAAACAGAAAGAAAGACAGCCAGATAGATAACTATGTAGTTAGTATCCATCTGTCCATCTAACCTATAGCTAGACACATGTATAGAGAAAACAGTGACACTGTCACCAGAATCAGAGCAGCCTGAAGGACTGTGCCAGTGATAGTGTAGAAAACCCAACCCAAGTTTAAGCAATAAAGGTGTGTTGTTTTTGTCAAGCCACCCTAGTTAAAGCGTAATATGTTTCTTTTCCCTTGTTAGAATTGAACAAAGCAACCCACAGGTGTATGTGAGGCCTCAGAGAGAACGCTACAATAGAAACCCAGTGCAGCAATGGATCCAGCAGTTCAAACGCTTCATAGAAAACTACAGAAGACATATCATTTGCATGGTCATCATATACGGGATCACAGCTGGACTAGCACTGGAAAGATGCTACTGTAAGTGTCCCTTTATATTCTCTCTTTTCATCACTGAATATTGTATTGTGCACATTTAAGCCCTAACTTGATTTATTAAGATCATGTTGAATTGTTCCTAATTTGTGACACTGGAAATTCGCACTAATGGTTGCAAACCAATAGCAATGTTTGTAGATTATGGTTTACAGGCCCATGCCAGTGGTATCCCAGAGACCTCCTTGGTGGGTGTGCTCGTGTCTCGTGGTTCTGCGGCCGCCATCTCCTTCCTGTTTCCCTACATGCTCCTCACTGTGTGCCGTAACCTGATAACCATGTGCAGGGAGACTTTTCTCAACAGATACATCCCATTCGATGCGGCCATTGACCTTCACCGTCACATGGCAATAGCTGCTGTTGTCCTCTCAGGTCAGAAAAGATCAATTACCTCTACGTGCAAAACGCTAGCATTTACTATTTAAACTTCCTTAATTGCCCTTTCAAATGAATTTCACCACAGATATGATTCAGTAGAATGTTACATCACCATAATTATGCTTTAACACTTTGTGTGTCAAGACATATTTGTGCAGTTTATAGCATATGTGAATCACGATTGATGCATTTAATTACCAAGGTTCAAAGTTCCATTACATAATGTAACGTTTCCTCAAAGTGATGTCATACCTCAATTATAGTAAGACGTGTGCTCGTATAATATTTTATTTATTTATTTAATGTTTGTTTTTTTGTGCCAGTTGTTCACAGTTTGGGTCATGTGGTCAACGTTTACATTTTCTGCATCAGTGACCTCAGCATTCTTGCCTGCCTGTTTCCTAGAGTGTTCTCCAACAATGGGTAATGCTTGATTAACATAATAAACGTTTTAGTTGGACGTTCATCTAACAATTTTTAGATGTTACTACTATTTCAGATGGTTCTAAGAAAATTCAAAAATAATGTTCCCATGTTTGATAAAATGGAATGTTCTCTGGAATGTTTGTGTAACCATGGCAAAAAAACGGGATGTTTTGAATGTTCAAAGAACATTTAAGAAATAACATTTTTATAACTTAATGGGAACTTGGAATATTCATAGAACATATTTTTCTCTGGGAAACTCTACTAGTGCAGGAGCCTTGCCCAAAATTCTGTGTGTTGATCATTTGCAGGTCTGAGCTTCCAATGAAATGGACTTTCTGGTTTTTCAAGACAGTTCCTGGTATAGCTGCACATTCAGTGTTGTTTTCATATATTCAGTATTAAATGTACTGAGTCTGTTTATTATTTTTCTAGATGTCTGTTTGCTGTAACACTCTGTTTCGTTTTTCTTTCAGGTCTCACTGGAGTTCTTTTGCTGTTGATTTTCGCCTTTATGTATGTCTTCGCCTCGCACTATTTCAGACGCATCAGCTTTAGAGGATTCTGGATCACACACCACCTATATGTGCTCGTCTATGTCCTGGTAAAGGAAAAAAGCACCTATCCATTTTATGAGTTTTAATAGAGTGTTAGAGCTTCAGTATTATGTACTTAGAAAAATAGTTGAAATATAGTTGAAATTCAGACAGTGGGAGATCAAAATAAAAAAATATATATCCAGAAATGATTATGATTAGAATCATTTCAAAAAATTTTGTTTAAATGTATTTGTTTGTTTGTCTGTATTTCAAAACAAGAGTCTGTTTTTTTAAAACACAAATCTTTCTCAATCAGTTTTTGTTTTCATTTTTGAAAGTTACACGTCTGGCGTGGACACTGGACACAGAAACTGTGAACACTGACTTTCTCTCTTTCTCTCTCATCTCATTTGGCAGACTGTGATCCACGGCAGCTACGCCCTCCTCCAGGAGCCCCGCTTCCACATCTACCTGATCCCCCCTGGCCTCCTCTTCCTCCTGGACAAGCTCATCAGCCTCAACAGGAAGAAGGTGGAGATCCCAGTGGTGAAAGCCGAGCTGCTGCCCTCAGGTAGACGATACTCTCAGCAGATCCAGCACAAAGCTCTTTTATCTCAAGAGTCTCCAAGGGCCCGAGCACACAGCGCTGTGTCATGTGCTGTAAAGTGTTCACTTCTAATTGCTCTGGCTGTGAAATCATACGGCGTCTCAAAATAGGAAACCTTGACTCCAATTCAGGACTCACTTTATTGATTTAAAAATTAAATTATGTTTAATATCACCAATTAGGTAACACTTTCTTTCAATAGTCCACTTTAGACATTCTACTAGCGATAAGAAACATATTTGCAACTATGTCAACTTTGAATCATTAGAGTATTAGTAGACTGTCTGCTTAGTATCTGCTAACACTTCATTTTGATAGTCACCCAATAGTCATTCTACTGATTATAAGCATTGTTGGGGAAAGTTACTTTTGAAAGAAATCCGTTACAATATTGCGTTACTCCATTAAAAAAGTAACTAATTGCGTTACTTAGTTACTTCTTATCGAAAGTAATACATTACATAATTGTTTTTATTACTTTTTGTCACTTGAACTGGGCTCGCTTATTTATTTTTAATAACAACAAACCCAAAAGTTATGTTTTTGACAACTGTAAAGGCCCTTTCACATTAAAAAATTGAAATTAATAAGCCTCAGCTTGAAGGAAGTGCCGCTACACTTACTCCCAATTTCTCTCAGCTCGGGGACAGGAGAGGTGTCTTGCATTACTTTTAAAGTGTTAGTTCACCCAAAAATGAAAATTCTGTCATTAATTACGCACCCTCATGTCATTCCAAACTCGTAAGACCTCCGCGTAAAGTCGTTTTATTTTTTTGTTTTGCGCACAAAAGGTTTTCTTGTAGCTTCATAAAATTACGGTTGAACCCCTGATGTCACATGGATTATTTTACTGATCTCCTTGCTAAGTTTCTGGACCTTGATCGTGTAAGAATCCTTGCTGTCTATGGGAGGGTCAGAGAGCTCTCAGATTATGAAGATGAACGGAGGTCTTACGGGTTTGGAACGACATGAGGGTGAGTAATTAATGACAGAATTTTCATTTTCACTATACCTTTAAGTAACTTTCATTACTTTTTTTGAAAAAGTAACAGATATTTTCTCATAAATTTAAAAGTAATACTTTTACTAATACTTAATTACTTAATTACTAGTTACTTGAAAAAGTAATCTGATTACGTAACTCGCATTACTTAAAATGTGTTACCCTCAACGCTGACTATAAGTAACTTTGCTTGTACATGTACAACTTAAACTAACTCTAACCTTAAAATAACATAAAATAAAAAGTCTACTAAAACTCAAATGGAAGTTAGTTGACATGTACTGGCAAAGTTATTTATGGTAAGTAGAATTTCTAAAGTGGAATATAGCACTGATAACAAACCTGATTCTCAATTTCTCTGAAATGCCAGATGTAACTTACCTGGAGTTTAAGCGTCCACAAGGTTTTGTCTACCGCTCGGGACAGTGGGTACGTATTGCATGCCTGGCGCTGGGCACAGATGAGTACCATCCTTTCACCCTGACCTCCGCACCACATGAGGAGACCCTCAGCCTACATATCCGTGCAGTGGGACCCTGGACCAGCAAACTCCGAGAGGCCTACACCCCTGAGAAACTCCAGGAGTTTGGAGGATATCCAAAGGCAAGGATACCCAGTTTGTCTTTGGTTCATATAGATGTAGATAAACTTGAATGCAGCCGATACGATAACCGATTATTTAGAATTATATCTGCCGATACCGATACTATACAGGGAGCCCCCTCATTTGGTACATAATATTAGAAGTTAAAATTAATAACAAACTATTATATTCAATGCTATTTATTTTCAGATATATTAATCCCTTGTTCTGTCACTTGAACTGAGGAGCTACAGCGCTCTCTCGCACCACATTTAAGAGTGTAAAAAGGACATTTATTGTTTGAATTTTGTGATAAAATGAACAGTATTTGAAAGCTCGACCCTGCTGTATCTCCACAGCTGTATCTGGATGGGCCATTTGGGGAGGGTCATCAGGAGTGGACAGACTATGAGGTGTCAGTATTGGTGGGTGCTGGGATTGGAGTCACACCCTTTGCTTCCATCTTAAAAGACCTGGTATTCAAATCTTCAGTCAAGTTCAAATTTCACTGCAAAAAGGTACAATACAACGTGCGAAAAGTTTTCAATGTCCTGTAATTAATGATTACGTTTTTAACGACTCTTAACATGGTGGCTCTAGGTGTATTTTATCTGGGTGACACGGACTCAGCGTCAGTTCGAGTGGGTGTCTGAGATCATAAGAGAGGTGGAGGACATGGACGCTCAGGAGCTGGTGTCAGTGCACTTCTACATCACACAGCTGGCTGAGAAATTCGATCTCCGCACCACCATGCTGGTAAATCCATTGTTTACTTGAGAATAATAAGAGTTTTTTATTGGTTTATAAGGTTACTGTAAGTTCCACTGAACTACTGTGATGTAAATAAAAGCAGGTTAACTGATATGAAGTTATGGTTGGGTGTAAAATCATCACTCTTTCTCTTTCTCAAGTATGTCTGTGAGCGGCACTTTCAGAAGGTGTGGAACAGGAGTCTGTTCACTGGCCTGCGCTCCATCACACACTTCGGCCGCCCACCCTTTTTGGCTTTTCTCAGTTCGCTACAGGAAGTTCATCCAGAGGTCAGAAGCCAAATAATTTGCATCTAAGATACATTGGAGCTTACCGTTAACTCTTTCCCCGCCAGCGTTTTTGACAAAAGTTACCAGTCACCGCCAGCGTTTTTGCTGATTTTCACTAAAATTTCATGGCCCTCAGAATATTTTGTTGTATGAATCTGAACATGCAATACAACAAAATACAGTTCAGACCGTTTTTTTCTAGCTTCAAGCATTGTGTTTTTATCAACACTTGAATGTAGGTAGGTTTCATAAAAAAAGCAACATTTTGAGAAAAAAGCTGAGAAAATCTAATTTTTATTAAATACTACATCTGGATCATATTCAGTAATATTATCAAAGCAAAGATGCAGTAGATGGCTTCCATCAGTACTCCCAAAGCTTGCACAGGCCTTTACCACTTTCTGGATTGACATTTCACTCGGTAACATTAGGCAGTTTTCATTTATATGCGGTTAGTGTTGATGATTGCATTATTTTTTCATATGCATATGCTTACTTTCATATGCATATGCTTACTTTCATATGCATATGCTTGAGATCGCTCGTTTCTGCGTCTTCCTGGTCTGTGTTTTTGATCGTCACTTTCAGGAGATGCGTAATAGCGCCCCCTAGCGTATAACAGTGAAAACACGGAAACACGGAAAATTCCGTGTTTGGCAGGGAAGCATTGTCTCATGAATAACGGAAAATTCCGTGTTTGGCGGGGAAAGAGTTAAACTCCACCAAGGACAATAACTATAATTATAAAGTTTTTAATAATCATTCTAGTTCTGTGACAACAGGAAAGTTTACACCACAATGATAACGACACAAAGGAACAATATCATTGGAGTCACTTTCAGAAACATTTTTCCAGCTGATGAACGATAAAACATTGACAGCCAATCAGAATCCAGCAGACTTAAAGAGCTTGAGCATGTACAGGGGGAGATGACAAAACTGCAGCATGCACTTATAATAATAGTAGATTATTGTGTTGTTGTGGACGCTAATACAGTTATCCTTATAGTTATCTTTATTGTTATAGTTACAATTATCGTTATCGTTATAGTTATCTTTATCCTTATAGTCATTATTATAGTTGTCATTATAGTCATTATTATAGTTATGTTTATCATTATAGCTATCTTTATAATTATAGTTATCATTGTAGTTATCTTTATTGTTAAAGTTATCTTTATCATTTGTTATCATTATTATTATCATAATAGTTATCTTTATGTTATAGTTAGTTATCATTAGAGTTATTTTTGTAGTTATTGTAGTTATCGCTATAGTTATGCTATAGTTATATAGTTATAGTTTGTGGTTATCGTTATGGTTATCGTTAAAGTTATCTTTGTCATTACAGTTATCCTTATAGTTATCATTATAGTTATTATCTTTATTGTTATGGTTATCGTTATAGTTATCTTTATCATTATGGTTATCCTTATAGATATAGTTATCTTTACAGTTGTAGGGCATGTACTATTGCATTTTTCTAAATCTTCATGTATTAGTAAATATCTGTGATTCATATGGGATCTTGTGAAAGGAGTCATTTTAAGTTTTAGGTTAATAAGTCATTTAATTAGATCATTGTGACAGTTACATCAACCTCACGTACACCACTGATGATTTTTCTTTGTTAAAGGTGGAGAAGATCGGCGTGTTCAGCTGTGGTCCTCCCGGTCTGACTAAGAATGTTGAGAAGGCCTGCCAACAAATGAACAAACGTGACCAGACACATTTTGTTCACCACTATGAGAACTTCTAGACTGTATGATTGAATCATATAAGAAATACTTAACAACAAATCACTGAATCATCAATATTGATTAATTTTGAATGGCCTGGAATACATTATTCCATTTAAAACAGCTGAGTTGCCATTATGAGGTCATATGAATCTATAAATTTTTTGCATTGTTTTCTGTGTTTCTCTCTTTGAATGCAAAAGTACATATAAATGATGCACACTGTAGTTTTAGTTTATTTCATGTATTTGTACAGGGACAACGCACAACAACAGTGTTGTGCCAGAGTTAGCTATAAAGCTAATTTGCATCTGCAGTCCCTGGGCAGGATGTTGTTACAAAATTACAATATTAAGTCACAACCATTACAATACATACAACACATACAAAATCACATCATACTACATTAAATTATAAAGCCAAGTCAATGATCACATATTTGATTTTCCTTAAGCCATACTTTAGGCGTAGTTTTAAAAATACTAAATGTTGTACACTCTCTAATATAAACAGCTATTAAATTCCATCTTGTATGTAACAAATGATGAATAAATGAAGTGTTCTTCCATTTTTGTCTGTAATTGTCATTTGAGGGTTATTGTTGATGTCTCATTATCATTATCACTAAAAGGACTAATCAAATTCCAACTTCAGCTTTTTTGATTGAATTTGATTATTTTGTCTTAAAAATGAACTTTTTCTCTTTTGATGATGCCTCTTACCTTCAAATCGTTCAACTGTTGGATCAATAGTATGAATTTTCCATCAACACAACAGCTGAGATGAGCATCCTTTTTATATAAAACTTTTCCAAATGTGCATATGTTTATAAACAGGTAGGCCTATACGTTTGTAGATATATCTGTACAAATAAATTAAAAGACACAAATGTATTTTTAACTTTGTATTCTTTCATACACCTGAATTTTTGTCTGTATACTTTTCTTTTTCACTTTTTCTGTTATTTTGCTTTGAACATGATGATTTGAATCTCACCACTGGTGATAGATGGATGCGATACCGTCTTACTTTCCTACTGGTTAATTGCAAGTTTGAATTTTGGTTTTGTTTGTATTTAAATGAGTCTCTTCGACTTGCAATCGTAAGCCCTGATGAAGGCTGGTGTGGCGAAAAGAGTTGGTGAAATAAACAGAACTATTCTTTTCAGATCATTTTCACATCTCCACTTCATAGGTGTTGCTTGTATTGTTCAAAATGCACTATAATTATCTTTATCAAATGAACTGTGATAAACAGGTCAAAATCACTGTCACGGATGTCATAAAGTTTTAGGTCACCAGTACTCATAATACAATAAAAGTATGCTTACATTTTTTTTATTTTTTATAGTTTTAGTTTGCAATAAATACACTGGTCTGTGGCATCCAAAAGTTGGAAAACCCCTGTCCTAGAGTGTGTCTGGGGCCTCAGACTGTATGCTGGATGAGAATGGGTTTAGTTTCGTGCAGATAACTCACGACTGGTGACGGAAGATGGATTATAAAGGATATGGATTTAAAAAAGGAAAATATGAATTTTATCATATGCAATGCATATGGGCACCACTATAATGTGTGCACATACATATGTGTGAATTATATGATATTATATTAAAAGGAATATCAGGATAAACAATAATATAATATCATGATATTAATAGCTAATATAATGATACTAACACTTTGCAGATTTCCCATGAAAACAGTTGAGAAATGTGGTTAAAGAATACAATTTTTTATTGATTTCACAGCTGTAGAATTACTTTTCCGAATAATTCAGATATGAAAGGCTTGGTAGAGAGATCACTAAATATTATCAACTCAAAGATATTATTTCTGAGATGGAAGCTGGTGAACTAGAGTAAAGTTAATAAGGGATCTTGTAGCATTTGAAGATTGAAAATGAGTTTTTAGCACTAGGTTTAATCATTCATTTGCCAAAATACAGTAACAAACAGACTCTAGTTGTTTATTTCTTTAAATGTTCTCGGATTTTAACTTGATGGGCTGATTTAAAAAGAATCTTTGAAAACTGATCATGATCATAAGTGTGTGATGTAATGTGGGGGGTTTTCACAACAATTTAGGTCAGTTAAGATGACTGGGAAAATTTACTAGTTATATTGCTGTAATATTATATATTAACGTGACATATTCTTTGTATTTTTATCACTTGTGTGAATCATATCCATAAAAAGCATTTCAGTTTACTGGAAGAGGAAGTGTGCAGCGATGCACGAGTGACTGGAAACACGGCCTTAGATGTGGATCATAGTTTCTCATACCGTTTTCATACCCTTTAGACCAACCGTTGTAACCACAGATATGAAGTTTAAACAAGGTTATGTGCTATCTGAGATAAAACCAACACTAAAGCTTGTAATTAGATCAAACTATTACTCATGCCATCAGAACCAAATGTTTTAGCATAATGATCAACTTAATCTCAACTTCCTTTTCAGAACTGGCCCTGCTTACTCTTCAGACCTGCGATCAATGCAGCATATTTACAGTATATTTGCATATATATATATATATATATATATATAAACTCAGCAAAAAAAATATCCCTTTTTCAGCATACTTTTGGATCATTTTGTAAACGCCAAATAAGCCATTAATTTCTTAATTACTGTCATTAATTACTCACCCTCATGTCGATCCAAACCTTCGTTCATCTTCAGAACACAAATATGTTTTTATGAACTCCGAGAGCTTTCTGACCCTTCATAGACAGCAAGGGTACTACCACGGTCAAGACACAGAAACGTAGCAAGGACATTGATAAAATAGTCCATGTGACATCAGTGGTTCAACAAAATGACAGCATTTATTTGAAATAGAACTATTTTCTAACAATTTAAATGCATTTACTGTCACTTTTGATCAGTTTAATGCATCCTTGCTAAATAAAACGTGTTAAAGCTATATAAAAAAAAATCTTAGAAGTTTAAGTTTAATAGTGACCATAAAAGACATATTAAAATAATCTATTCAAGCACTGATTATAAGGGGGGACTTTTGAGTAAATAGTTCATTGTTATTTAAACTGGCAATAGGCCTAATGTAATGTTAAAAAAAGGTGAAGCAGTGGAGACTTCCTGATGCTGTAATAAAGGAGGTGTATTTACCGAGAATCATTTTAGTGTAACTCCTTGATTATGATTATGTGGAATTGATAAGTGAGGGTTGGATCGGTCACGTACGCATCCTGGATTATCCAGTGGAATATTATCTAACTGATTCACTTCCAATGCAGTGGGAAGATCAATGCTGCATCATGATCATGCAATCTTGTAATCTGTGTTATAAAAAGTTGCAGTATCATCATAAAATAATGCCATCAGATAGTAATATAGTACTTTTATAATGTGTGACAACCAGCCTGTTGTCTGTTGGTACTGAATGCATAATAGCTAAACATTGAGTCTGTTCAGGGTTAAGGTGTTTAGGTGTTATTTTTATACCATTAAATTGCTTGTTTACAATCTTACACATATAATAACCTAAATTAGTGTCTAAAGAAACTGTAAATGGCTTTGAAATTTCTATACCATATTATATGGCATTATTTAGTGTTTACTGTAAATCAAGAGTTGTATATGAGAATATATGTCAGACTCTGTTCTGTGTTTTGCTTTCTGTGTTTCCTTTTGCCCTTATTTGGTCCTTCCCATTCCTGTTATTATGATCAATTGTTCCAGGTCTTCCCCGTTCAGTTCATTTGTTCCCATGTGTGTCCCATTAGCTCCCCTGTACTTAAGCCCTGTGTTTCCTTGTTTCCAGCGTCAGGTATCGCATGTCTGTGAACGTGTCTTGCTTCGTGTGTTTTTCCTGGTTCCCTTAAAGACATTAAAATCTCCTGTGTTGCTGTACTCCTGGTCTCCTTGCTCCTGCACAGTAGCAACGTGACAATATGAGTCAGCATGAGGTTTATGTGGAGGGAGGATTCACTCGGAAATAATACAGATGAAAACACCTCATGTTATTGTGAGAGTTATGATGCCTCAGATGAACATAGCAACCATTGTTTACCAATTATGATGATTACAGATGATTTTATTTATTTACTTTGTGATGATTACTAAAGGGAAGGTGGTTTTATGAGTTTGGCTTCCTGAATGTCATGTGATTTTTGTTTAGTTAGATATTCTTTCTGTATTTAACTTTGATTTTATATCTTTGTTGTCTCTATAGTTTACTTGTTTGTCATGTTTTTGTGAAACCTGTTTGAAAATTAATAAAAAAAAATAAAACTCAATTTGTGAGTGTTATATTGCTTTTATAAGGTGGCACTTGCTCAGCCAATGGCATGAGTTTGGGGTGGGATTCAATGTTTGACGACCAACTGCAGACGTGAGAGTTATTTTGTTAGGAAACCTGTTCGAAAATAATCAGCAAACTTGAACTTGTCACCTTTAATCAAAATTCATCGCTATGAATCCAAAATTTCTATTTTGGACATTTCTATTCACGTGTTTTTAAAGCGTTGAGTATTGTAGCCAGTCACAGGCATCACTGTTGGAAGCAATGGCCAATCAGAGGTGTTTACTGTAGGACTACTCTGAATCGGCTCTGAATTATTTTTGGTTTTCCCACAAAAAGTTCACTTACTGAGCGCTACACGCAAATCCTCCTCCTTCTTCTTTTTCTTTTCTTCTTCTTCTTCCTCTTCTGTTCTTGAGAATATGGCAGCCTAAAAAACTGTTCGTGGGAAAGTTATGAAATTTGGCGCACTGATAGAGGACAGTCTCAACAGTCCTCTCTTTAGTGGCCAGGAGTTGGGTATCTTTGCTTACAACTAAAGAAACAGTTTGGCCAAAAATAGCAAGACTAGTCTCTTTAAATTCGGTGTGACATTGAGTTGAACGATATCCATTTTTTTTAATGTCGGCCATTTTGGGCAACAGCCATTTTAAATATTGTTGTAAAATACCATATTTTACAAATGCATTGGTGTGTCATCACAAATATTTTTTTTATGTGTCACCGGCACCATGCCCTGTAGGTACTCAAAAAGGTACTCTTTGATTAGTTTTGCCTATTGTCATGAAGCTGGTCTCTATTCTAGGTTTATGCTGAGAACATTGATATTAATTATGCCACAACTGACTGAACTTCCTGTCCGCCGTTTTGTTTTTCTTTGAAAACATACTTTTTTGATTAACTCCTTTTCAGTTAACTCCTCTTAGACCATTGGTTTGATTTTTTACCAAATTCGAGTCGATTTCGTGTCAATAGATAAAGCTGTTTTCAAATTCATTGCATAAACAAATTCCATGGCGGCA